CCATATATCATTCATCGTTTAAAAGACTGTAGTTGTACTATATCGGTTAGATGTGTCAAATGATTAACATGCATAAAAAATAACAATTCTTATTCTTAATAAGAATTGGTACAAATCACTCTCAATTCTATCACCTTCAACTTTGTAGCAACGTGTTAACATCCTAAAAAAGTTCACCTACATCCTCTTTGTCAAGAATAAATGACATGACTGTCTACTTCAGTAAGAAATATGAACAGACTCAGAGAAATCTTCCGCTCCACACTTGCAAGACCATTCTACTGCACTGACTATTTTTCTAAAATCGGCTGGGTCAAGCCCTCTTACTCACTGAAGAGCTTCTTTTTTGAGGTTGGAGCCGGTCCTGTGAGCTCGCCTCTTCTTGTTTGAAGGCAACATCTCCACACTCGTTAAACTCGGATCACCTTTGAATATCCAGCAATAAAAGGGGAAAAAAGTGAAGGGTGACTGCCTGAAACATCTACAAAGTCACAACAAGAAACCTATACTCTGACGTTTTGTGCAATGAAAACTGCTCCATGTGCAGCTGACACTGTTAGAAGTGTTCTGAGCTGGCTCCCTCTCTTTTTACCTCCTCCCTCTCTGACATTTCCCATGTACACACAGATACAACATTCAAACCTTGTACGTCTTGTTGCAGCCTGTGGATTAAAAGGGAGTTATCTAGATCTGTTTTTGAATGACTGTAAAACACACACCAACTCCATTTGAATTCCAACATAGTTGAAAACTATGTTTAGCTATTTGTAATATTTTGTTTCAGTCAATGAGTTGGAGCAGCATCCAGGGATAGCCCTCTTTTACAAGATGGCAGGGATTACTGGGTCACGAGTCACAGAGTCTCCCGTTGCAGCAGACTGCTGATTCAAAGGAGGAATGATCAAGTGTTGGGAAACAGTGGAAGACGAACAACAAATGCTGTAAGAGGAGGAATACTGTGTATTTTTGGTGGGAGATAACTTATTTGGTTTGGATGCAGAAATATCATCACCTACATTCTAAAAATAGAGTTGTAGTCAAAACTGGTTGTGAAGTTGGCATGGGTGAGTTTCCTCTCAATCTAGGGCACGTAAAGAACTAAGAGGTCACTGGGACAAATTGGCAGCCAGCCTGAAGGACGGTTATGTGTCCATTTGTCTTGATAACTGGGCTCTTCGGGTGGCTATAGCTCAGGAGGTAGGATGGTTCATCCATTAACCAGTAGTTCAATCAACATCTCCCCCGTCCTGTGTGTTTAAGTGACAAGATACTGAAACCAGATTTGTCAGCTGCTCTGTGTCCTGAGCAAACCACCAGTGTCAGGTGTTGATTGATGTGAGTGATGAGGATTCCATTTCTGCACAGGCCAAAACCCTGAGCAGCATGAAATTCCATCTGTAAGCATGTGTGTGAGCAGAATGTGTCTACAACAGTACAGTGTGTGAAATACCCAGTGGCAATCGCCCCCCCCCCCCCACCTATGCATGTTATGCCCCAATCCTAAGGCAGGGATTGGCTGCCACTGCAAAATGAATGTAGCAGAAACCCTGCCAACCGAATGCTGTACAAGGTTTGCTATTAAGACATTTTATTGAGAATTATGACAAATCATTTTTAAAAGATTTTTTTGAGAGGCTTTCAAGGGGTCTCAAGTGTCAAACAAGGGGTCTGGTGCCCCCATGAATTTCACAACTAGGTGTAAAAGCTATCTATCCCTCAGTGTTTCACTTGCTCCTCTTTTCTATATCTGAGATTGTTCACACTATGAAACAACTGAAAGCCTCGATTAAACTTGCATTCCAAACCATGTCAAAAACATTTAATCTCAGGTGGGACAGGGTGTCTCAGCAGAACAAGTCAAGTTTTCTCTTCCTCCACATTCAAGTTTGACTTAGACTGAATTGAAAGAATTTACACAAGAGACATATTTATTTGATACGGTTCTACAAATGGTCCAAATGTTGAATTTACAAAGAATTCTGAGAAAAAAAAAAAGAAAAAATCCATCACACAAGTGACAAAGTGATTTCAAAGCTCATGTCCAACCTTGTAAAAAGGTGTCAAGTCTGTCAACACAAAAGAAAGATGAAATGACTTCTCCTCAACAGTTTATATATACGGAATATATGTATAAAGAACTGGACTGCACTATTCCTCCATTCGTGGAAAGGAAGGTGTATCATTTGTTTACATCTGAAATAAATGACTAAAGAAACAACTTTCCACCCTACTCAAGGGTAACTGGTGTTTCAGTCACTAAGAAACTAAAACAGTTAGAACTTAAAATCCTCAATGAAATTCAAAACTAAAAACAACTGAAAACCAAATAAGGTGTGTACATTCAAGCGTCATACAAATACTGAGTGAGATGCTGCTGTAAGTTCATTCAAACATTTTCAAAGTTGAGTCGACTTGACAATGGCATGAACATTAAGAATAGAATTCACACATGTGGACCTAAAGTGGCAGACCGCCTCTTGTTTCTTACACTGTGAGCATTACATTTACAGTTATTTTCTAATGTTTCCATAATACAGGTGTTGAACTAGTTCATTTATCTAGCAATGTGCTCTTTTATAATAAAGTTATATGGTGAAGCCACATACTGAGACATTCAGTCTTTTCCCTATTTTATTTTAACTTGTTTTACACAGTAAAACGGAGTTCGAGAAGAAAAAACAAGCGTGACTGTCTCAAAATAGCTGCATGAAGTTGAACTAAGGGACATTTTTAATCTTGAGTCGTAGTTTGTGGTGAGAACATGTGGGGTTAGATAGTGAATACATCTATAGCCAGGGGGAAATAGAACTGAAATGTAAAACAATATTTGAAAGCACAATAAAATAAAAAAATAGCTGAATATACACTGCTCACACGCAGCCAGTGATTGATACATGTGGGTGATTCGTCCCAGTGTCAGTGCGCAAACATGACGTATTTTTCTGATATATGCACGGATTATATACAGAGAGCATCACTGAGGTGGGGGAGGAGGTGGGGGAGGAGGAGGGAGGTCAGAGAAGGGGAGAGAGTTTGGTGGCCAGAGGGGTGAAGAGAAAGACGGATTGAAGAAGGATGGTGGAGGAGGAGGGTAGAGAGGGTAGCCGGGAGGGGGGAAATGGTGAGGAGGTGGAAGAGGGTAAGGGCAGGGGGGTGGAAGGTACATTGGAGGCACATCTGTGTGTCTGGGTGGAGGTTGTGTGTGTCTGTGTGATGGGTGTGTATGTCTGAATTGTGGCTGTTTGTTCCTTGGGTTCTGGTGCCTGAATGATTGCCCTGCATGTCTTGGTGGGAAACCCCTGACGTCATGCTGCTGCTGCTGCTGCTGCTGCTGCTGCTGCAAGGTGTTCTGGGTACCTTGGACAGGATTATCTGGGAAGTGAAAAAGAGGTGAAAGAATGTAAGAACAAGCTTTTGTCAGTGGTTACAAACAGAACATATTCAGACAGTGTACATCTATCAGTACCTGTGTTGTTATTGTCCCGCCTCTTTTTGTTTTTCCCTTTCCTCTTTGCCTCCTTCTCTTTCTCATCATCACTGTAATCTAAAGCCTGGAGAGGGAGAGAAACAGACACAGATTTGAAATTTCATTTTCACTATTGCAAAGTGCCCTTTGCCACACAGGATTAAATCGTGACTGTTGCTTAATTGGTGGGGGTTTGTTTCTTTTTCTTTTTTTTTTTTTACATAAAATCCTCTTCTTTGTCAATGAATTGTATCATCAACCTACATTTTGATCATTAGTTTTTACAAATTATTTTTTATTTGAGGACTGTTGGTTGATACATGAACATCAACCCAATGCTTCTTATTCATTTAAAAAAGCAGCATAGATGGTGTTATGTCATCTGTATCTGCCTGAACAGCATGTATTACAGGTAAATCCAACAACTGTGGAAACCATAAATGAATTTATGGTGCCATGTCCCACTCGAATACCCACTGCTTCGTAATTTGTGAGCTGTCCTTGCTGACTATCCTCCTTCATCTCTTGGCAGATACAGCCAACTCTGAGGAACCTGAACCATTGACGGTGGAGGGTCCACCATGAGGTGGACGATACCTAATTATTAGTTATGAGGTCTCATCATCTGTAGGACATTTTGGATTGAATCCACTTTTGCAGTTTATGGTTGCTAAACCACTTTGAAGGAAGTTCAGATTAAACTTTTTGTTAGCCTGAGGGTAAAGAAAACAGCACTCCAGACAGGGTGGAACCTGGTATAACTCTCCTCTGGATGTATAAGTGAGTGCTCAGGTAACTGTTCATCTTCAGAATACTCTGAATGTCACAATGCAAAACCTTAGCTTTGTAAACAAAAGCAAGACCAAAACCATTACGACAAACAAACGCATTATGATTTCCACTTTGAGCTGAGACGTCTCAGATTTCTACTTCTCAAATCTGCAAAATGATGCAGTAGAGGCCACTTTCCTCTATTTAACAGCAGATAGCTTTGTTTGGTTCGACAGTGTCTCAACATGCTTCACATGTTTAGAGTTCTCTCTGCTTACCTCTTCTGGTGGTTCTTGATCATTCTTCCAAGATGCATCAGATCCCTTTAAACTGAAGAAAAAGCATTTTCACTATGACAGGCCGGCCACCACCGCATCAGAGGTGAAAACTTATCAAAAAACGAATCAATTATTATTATATAGGTCTAACTTTACAGAGCTCTATGCTGTCTATGCATGTATGTGTGTTTACTTACAGTTTAAGCTGCTTTGTGAGGACGTATCCTGTGTATTCTTTGATGGCTGGTGCATAATAAACAGTCAGTCCCTCCTTCAGCCCCTTGCTGTTTACCTGCTCCACTGAGTTCAACCGTAGAACATACAGTGGACTGGACACTGGACCAAACACCTCAAACACCTGAGAGCACACACGCAAACAACACAACATCAGTGCCATGTGGAAACCAAGCAAAAAACCTTTTTTATACACACAGACATACACACACAAAAAAAAGAGAGTAGAAAAAAAAATAGAGGCGGTCTAACACACAGCCAGGGAACTGCTGGACCCCCCACCTTGCCAACAGCCATCCTATCAGATGTAAAGATGATGCTCTCATCATTTAGAGCAGGTGTGTCTCTCAGAGACTGGACGATCACTGCAGAGACAGAAAGGGCAGATTACAACAGAGCTGAACGACTAAATGCCCGACTTAAAAAACAGCTGCGAGTGTGTGGCTGTCTGTGAGTGTGTGTGTGTATTTACCAAGTTGCTGTATAATGCTGGAGACTGTTCCTACAGGCTGCAGTTCTGCATCCTCTGGTAATGATACACACACTTCCTCTACTGCCGGGAGCTCCTACACACACAAACACAACACAACATCTTATCCTGTGCTCTGATGATGTTAACTATGAGCCTTTGGCTGGTTAATAAAGGCAAAACAATTAAGATGGCTATCACTTGGCACAACAAATGCACACAGTTGACATGAGTGTGGGAAGGAGACAGTCAGGGCTGCCAAGGTTGGGGCTGTTTCCGCTGCTGTAATACACCCTCGGGTGTATTAGTAGCCACTCCATGTGCACAATTTGTGTGCGTAAAGGTCTCAAATTCCGAAGGGCAACTTTAGAGAAGGACTGGATGTGCTGTAGGCCCGTGGTCATAGCGACCGCAGACAAACAGGAAAGTCACGTCATACCAGCCTTTTGAAAACCTTGGTCCCTAGCGTGAGAATGTTCTCCACAGCGGAGACATTGTTAGTACCAGCAGGACCAGCCTCTCTGCAAACTATGTGGTGGTAGTTGATTATTTTGAAGAAAAAAAGAAAAGAAATACATATATTTAATAATGATAATTATAAATTACAATAATGGCGCAGTTTCAGAACTGTTAATTTTCTACATGCTGCACCTTAATGAATATTTATTTATTTTACTATTTTTATTTATTTAGTTATTTGAGAGAATTATTATTTTGTTATTTTACTTTTGTAAAATTTACTTAGGTAAGAAAGACACAGCCATAGTCTGTTCAGCTAACCAGAGTTAAATAAAAATAAATAAATTATCACTTCAACGTTTTCTGATCCTTGTTTCTACTGTACTGAAAACGTACCGAGCTGGGGTTTGTGTGTACCGTTACACCCCTATTGTTAAGTAATACTATTTCATGAGACTCAAAATTAAAACAATAAAGTAGACAACTGACATTTGCAAAAAACTTGATTACATCTCATGTGATCTGAGACTAACCTCGAGCAAGACTTCGTCTCTGGTTTTAATGGGAGGTGGTTGGCTGAAACCCTCATCATCATCATCCTCAAGTACAGGGGCAGAAGGAGAAGAGGACGATGAAGAGGAGGAAGAGGACGATGAGGAGGTAGAGCTGTCACTGAGTGAAGGAGAAGAAGAGCATCAGATTAAGTTGTTTGTTTCCTTTCTGCTTGTTAATAACTTTTCTGGCTTCAAACATAAAGAGGACATTAGGCACCACTGTGCAAAATACTGGTACCCAGCACTTTATGGTAGAAAATTGCAATAAGAAGTAATTTATCATAATGTCGTGTATGCATATCACTGGATACAACCCAGTCAGGCCTCTCAGATCAGCAGGCAGTGCTTTTCTACCCGTACCCAGAATCAGACCCAGGTCTGGCGAAGGTGCCTTCAGGTACTACGGTCCTGTTCTCTGGAACAAGCTGCCTGCTGACATGAGGTCGACCTCTAGAAGCAAACTCCAAACATTTCTGTTCTCAGGCCTTTGCCTGATTTTCTGTATCTAGTCTGTCCATTTATGATGCATGTTTCCTGTTCAGCTTCTGTGTAATTGTGTCTTTTGACTGTGGGAGTTTTGAGTGCTGTGTTGTGTGTATGACATACAACATGTGCAAGTGTGTATCTGTGTGTGTAAATACCTGTCGGAATCATCCGAGTCATCATCATCTTCATCGCTGTCCTCTGTCTTACTGTTCACAGAAAGTGCGGCTGCTGCAGTTGACTCTGCTTTTTCCTCTGGAGGTGTTGGTGTACTGGACGACAGGTCTGCACCGTCAGGAGTCACAATGAGATTTTCTAGTTGTGTTGTCACAGTGACCTCCATCTCTTCCTGCTCCTGGTGTGGTGGTAGCACCTGTCCACTAGGACCGATGTTAACTGGTGTTTCATCCATCTGAAATAAATCCTTTAAAACAGTAGATAATTAGTGATGTCACAGCATAGGATTTAAGTAGCTGTTTGCCTGAACCATAACACTTTAATGGAGATTTATCAGAATAATAGGTGAGAAACCCAGAGTTGAAACATACATGACCTTTGCAGGATGTTAGCGTCACGCAAACAGTTTTTAGGAAAAGAAAATCAGAGGAGAAAATTGTTGAGGTTTCTTTAAAGTGAATATAACCCTGTTGTGTACTAGTGAAGACACAACGATTCAATCAAAGACACCACAGGACTTCACATGGACGTGTCGGCTGAATGTGTAGCATACGTCCTGGTGCAGTTTCACTGGAATCGTAAATAGACTGAGTTAGTTCAAGCACGTGTGTAAAATGTCTGTACCGTCTTATTTTCAGAGTCTTATCTGACAGTGAACTCTGGGAAACCATTCATTCGTATGTAGGCTAGCTTCACTCAGCTATTTAGCTGAGGAGCTAACCGAGGCTAACAGCGCGAGATCTAATGTGACACACATGTTCTAACACACATCCTCAACAGCCGTCAGTCTGGATACACCAGGAGGACATGCACCCAACGAACTCCTCAGACAGCGTGTGAGTCCAATGAGCGGTGGGCTGATAGAATTACCTGAGTTGGTTATTTACGAAGAACTGCAAACAACCGCTGGAACTCAGGAACCTGTTCAACAGACCTCTTCCGTTGTCAAACGTCAAAATAAAAGCCTCGTCCGATCGTGACGACTACAATCAAAACGGAATGTGAGCGGATTGCAATTAAAATCACATTGTAAATTAGCATGCGTGAAATCCTTGTCAAACCAGAAGCAAAGTATAAAATTGAGGTATCTTGATATAACTTTTAAAATGTAAACTCGCTTAGTGTTGTTTTATTTTGAAGTCAAACGTGTTTCTGGGCTTTTGCCCTCGCACAGCCACATGTGCACATGTCCACAACACGTGGGTAGTGTTTTTCCGGGTGTGCGCAACGCTGCAGCGCAATCGAAAGCGACTCACGCGGGAAATGTAAAGGCAAAGACGCGCAATACTCTGTTTTCACACATCCTTGTTACTTGACCAGAGGTTGTACAAGAAGCAGGGTTTGCGATTATCGGGTTCATTTAATAACTCTGCAGTTTTCAGTCCTACGAAGATCGTTCGCTTGTTATCGGGGTTAAATCACCATGGTAACTTATGCTGAACGGCTAACCTGGTCAGGAGCAGGTTAAATTGGAGATAAGAGATCAGACTGTATAAAAGCACCGTCCACAGACCAATCAGTTCATTGAAAACATGGCATCACCAAACCGACACTTAGGTCCAATGAGCTCACAGTACAACAGACTGTGCATGTTCTATGTTTCTCTGCTTATGGGAGTTACTACTGTGGGTGATGCAGAGTAGCTCAAGCATGACTCTAGCATGCTCTCCTCACTTCTAAATGCTAACTGATTAGCTGATTATCAGGTGAAATAAAAATGGAACGTGTTTTCTTTTTATTAGACGGATAATTACTTTGGTAATCAGTTTTTCTCACACCATTTTTTTTACAGTCATGATCACACAGGACCCATAAGCAGGAACTTATTGTCGAAGTGATGGTGCTGCCATGTAGTGGTGCCACATGGGACCACTGGTACCTCTCCAAGATCTCCCCTTTTGGATAATTTCACAGACATAAAGCCTAGAACTGGACTACAAGACATTTGAAATCATTCTGGCCTGGATTGATTTTAAACTGTTGTCATAAAATCATATAGGTGATACTCTACATGACGGTATCAAACAAGTGGTATAATAATACAACGATAATGATCAGTATTTATACAGCACTTTCCTCAACAATGTTACAAAGAGCTTAATAAATAGGAATAAAAATTAGAAATCGAAGCCAGACTATAAAAGCCAAGTATAGGCCTGCAGAACAGACCTAAGTAATACCTGACTATTAAAAATGACCAATATCTTAACCAACATTGTGACAGCATAATGCAAAGGATCTGTGATTGAGATTTTTGTTAAAGAGTGGCTCTTTTTTTTCCTTCCTTTTTTAATCAAGCAAACCAAACTCTATAAAGAAGCAGTTATTTAATCATTGGAAATCATACTGAATACAAAGTTGACAGAAGCTAAATAAAACCCACCCAATCCTTCCTGGCTCATGATTCCACTATTTCTATTCCACTAACTATCATCAATTCTTGTTTGGTTAAAATAAACCCTGTTGATTACTTCTTTTTTTAACAGGGTCCTGGTGGGTTTGCTGAGCTCGACAAAGACAATCTTCCTGATTAATAAATGAAGGATAAAGGGATCAACTTTTCAACTACCCCCCCCCCATCTTTGCTGTGCAAATCAAGACACCATAACTGATTTAATGTTAAACAAATAAAACTGAATTGACATGCGGTACACACACTTTCACTGTCATCGATCTTGTCTTGGAATTTCAGTCATAGGTTGTTCAATTTGGTAGCAGTTGGTGGCAGTGTTAAGAAAACAATATGGTCCTCAAAATGGACCTTAGCAGGAAGTTGATGGTTCATTCCGCCAGTTTGTCGGCCAAGATGTTCCTGACAGCTGTGCAGTCAGTGTCTAATAGAAAATGAATGGTGAATGGTGTGTAATAGAAAAACAGTGCATGCATGGAGAAGCGCTGTATGAATGAGTGTGAGTGGGTTAATGTGAGTTCTAGTGTTAAATACTATGCATGGTCATCAAGACTAGAACAGCACTATGTCAACACAAGGCAGAAGCAGGTAGAGTTAAAGAGGAATTTGCTAAGCCAAATGTCAAAGTCCAGTAGACAGTCCAAACCAAAATAACAAAATCAGAGGGACAAAACCGGGCAGGCAAAAAAAGAAACAGGTTCATGTCCAATATAATCAAGTATTAACCACTAAGATAAATCACATTCTGCAGAAAAAAAAGAGAGTGAGGGGGGAGGGAGCTTGCAGAACTGGATAAAATATTTTTACACATTATTTAATATCTGCCTCTATAGTATTGTATGCTTATTGTGCATGACTTATATTTTAATTTTAGGATTGAGAATTTAAGATCTGCCTTCAATGGGAATGACTTTAGCATCTAATTATTAAAAAGTATTCTATTTTTCAATACTTTTTTTTTAATCTTAGTTTTTAGCGTCATGCAGTGTTTTGTAAAGTAGGATTTGTCGCTTATGCTGCACCTTTGCACACACTGTGTTATTATTATTAAACCCTCAGCAAAATGTTCAAAATGTTAAATATATTGCATGTCATTGTCTTATATAATGAAACGAATGAGGATCGCAGGATAAAGAGCAACTTTCATTTAGTCAAATATGACCAGTAGGTGACAGCAAACCCCTGTTAATCTTCAACATCAAGAGGACCAAATAGGAAAATCACTGGGGGCCACACTAATAGCTACTAAATACTTATTTTAGTAGATATGTATATATATATATATATTATATGGACTAAACTGGTAACATTCAATCAATTCCTGACAGCAGCCAGAAAATAAGATGTATATAGTATAACAGTATCCATCAGGCTGTCAAGCCATTGATACAAGGTTTTTTACCCTCAAAGATATGGACTAACAAAATAAGTGAGACAAAGAAGGCTGCTAGGGGGGTCTGGGGGCATGTGTGTGTGTGTGTGTGTGTGTGTGTGTGTGTGTGCAGATTTATGCAGCCCTCACCCAGGAAGAGCAAAAGAGAATCAGGTGGAAAGGGAGCGGTTCAAATTTGGTTTAAAACAAGGCTGCTCAGAGATAAACCTTGGTTTTATTATTATAACTTAGTATTTATCATATTGTTATAAGCTTGCGGGCCTACAATGGGCCTTATCTGGCCCTACTAGTTGAATAGTCCTGATCTAGGCTATGTAGTGAGTTCTCTGGGTCAAGGTGCACTAAAAAGACTTCATGAAATATAAATATATAATCTGTAATAATATTATGTGATATTTTAAATCAAAGTCTCTCAGAACGCATCAAGCATGAAAACCCCAATTTTGGTGTTAAATGATATGATATGCTATTGAAATGATCAACACAATTTCACATGATTTCCCAGAATACTTGACCAGGGTTCCTCTTTACATGTATAGATTTCAGCACAGACAATCATAAATCATTCCCCAGAGACAGGTGGCAACTGTTCAGGCCTGGAGGCTGTGGTAGGGGGTAAATCATTACCATAGCCTGGTGGATTTCAGAATGAGTGTGCTTTTGTGTGGTTGAGCAAATGTCGTTCTCCCAAAGATTTGTTCAAATGTTTTGTTTTCTTCTGGTTTCTACTTTAGAACAGCCACACTGTGGTAAACCACCGTTAAAATCTTCGAAATGTCCTTTCATGACCTTCCACTGGCTAAATATCATTGCAAGCCGCTGTTATAAAGTATCCAATAAAAATGAAATGAAATTTGTAATTATATTCATTTCTCCTTCCATTTCATTTTAGCACCCCTAAATCCATGTCCAAGTGAAAAACACAAAAATGTCTCATGTGGAAGCACTTTTGAATTGCACTTTTATCCTGCTTTTCACCCGGCAGCAGGGTCAAATAAATACTATATCAAATCAGCTGACGTTGACCCCTGAATGGTCGTATTGTTACTGAGCTAATCAACTGGCACTGGCTCCATGCCACAGTTTTAGCAAAGCTCCAAGCCACACTCACACTTCAAACAGCACCTCTCAAGAACCTCAATGCACCACTGCTTTGTGCCAATCAGTGGTGCTTTTGAAGACTAATGACATAAATGGCCCCAGTCACCAGTTCTGCGTCTGCACTGAAAACAATTACAAGCATCCCAGCAGTGGGAAGTGCCATTGTAAGCTCACCAGAATGCTAAAACTGCACAGACGGCGTAATCCAAGTGGATGGGAAGTGGAGCACAGATATACTGACACTTTGGTTCATGATATTTACTATGATAAGGATGCATGAGTCTGGCTTCTCACAGGGCAGGTAACATACATCATAGCAGAACTATTCCAACTGATGCATAAAAGACAATAAGCTTATTTATCTTGGTGACTCAAGAGTCTCAGGGCTCACATACTAACTCATATTTCAAACACTGTGGTGTCATGGATGTCTCTCCCAGTTCATCCCACCTGTTTTACCCAAGGTTTGTTAACTTTAACTAGAATAACTGCAATGCAACAATTTAATTTAAAAGGGTTAGTTCACCCAGAAATGAAAATTTCCCCCTGATACTTCTAAAGTGTTCTGTGGACGCAAAACCATCAGCATGGTGAGTTGATGAGTGCATTTTCATTTTTGGGTGAACTATCCCTTTAAGGTCATAGTGATGTTGTCCTACAGTACATCAGAAGGAATAAAAAATGTTGGAGGCCAAAGTTCACCTCCAAACACGTCTCTGTTCCCGGAGTAAATGCAGCTGCTGCTAAAAACAAGAATAGCATTAACAAAATACACACACACACACACACACACACACACACACACACAAACAAACAGTATAAACTCATGTGTAGACTCAGACTGGGTAAAAGACCCAAAATGAATACTGTAAGTGGACTACTTGACCACTATAACTTAATTATAATTAAAACCCCCACCAGGAAAACCCCTGAATATGCACT